GTGTGTGTGTGTGTGTGTGTGTGTGTGTGTGTGTGTGTGTGTGTGTGTGTGTGTGTGTACCACAACTTTGGGTGGCATGGTGGCAATTGTGCACACTGTCGTCCCGCCCAGCAACTGGCAGTGACATCGCTGGTTGCCAGGATCTGGGTGGGACACTGGCCAGAGCGTCCCACTTGGGGGGCGGCAGGTACATATGTCAGACTGCCTCATTATAACGATGGCCCAGCATGTATGTATGTATGTATATGAGATGGGGACCTTAGGCTGGGCACACACCTTACAACCGGCCACTTTTGGACAGGCAGATCGTACTTGTGATGATCACAACCCCCGGCCCCCCTGAGGGGCGAGCTTCCAATGACCGCAATGCTGAATGCTTGCGCACACCGGCCCATCCGGCTTTTATTGTACGAACATGCTACACACCCGCCGAACATGGTACGATGCTCGGCGGGTTTTCGAACATGTTCGTAAGTTAAAAGTCGTGCGACCTTACAGTAGCAGAGGTCGCACGGCTTCCACACACCTTACGATAATCGTACGATCGCGGGATTTCCCGCGATTATCGTACGATCACAAGGTGTGTGGGGACCTTTAGATTGTAAGCTCCTTGAGGGTAGGGAATGATATGAATGTGCAACTATGTAAAGTGCTGCTGCGTGAATTGACAACGTCATATAAATACCTGTAACAAATAAATAATGACCAAAGCTGGCCATATGCTGCTCTAATTTTGGCCAAGTCCTGCTGACTCGGCCACAAAGTGATCAGTGTGTGGCCCTGTCGGCACCACTCCCCTCAACAATAATCAATTTTTTTTTTGTCGAAGGTGCCAGGCCAAAAACTGTCAAACAGTTACTCTAGCCAATCAACTGCCGTCATTGTTCGGCTATTCTGAAAGCTCCCCATCCGCCACAGTCAGAATACAATAGCCCTGTGAGGGAGATTCCTCCATGACGGGGGAGTCAATTATTTTTTCTTTTCGTTCAGCCAGCTTTAGAAAGTACTGACGTGATAGGATAAAGCTTACAGCCATGCAAACTCCATGCAGGTAGTGTCTTGATTGGGATTCAGACAGAGAACCCCAGTGCTGCAAGGCAGGAGTGCTAATCATTGTGGTGCCTCAGTGATATATTGTTAAGGAAATGTTCAGCCAGCATAGCCGCCATTACATATTTCATTGGTGCACATCTTTCCAAGAAGGGTGACAACTCTGAAAGCAGTCTTCCAGCTCCTGAAGCTGTATTTTGGGAGAGATGTGTTGTATGAGTCTGGTCAGGTCACAAATATGTTGACTCCCTGCTTCCTGAATCCCATAGCACTGTCCTAGTAAAAACTATGCGTTGTTGTTGGTATATCTTATATACATTAGAATGCAATGCACTAATCACCACAATGATCGATTTTTTGTCTCAAACACAGAATTCAAAGAATGTTTTTCCCTGTACGATAAGAAGGGAAAAGGCAAGATTCCTACTAAGGACCTGCTGACCGTCATGCGTTGCCTGGGGGCATGTCCCACCCCCAGTGAAGTCAGTCGTCATCTGCAGCATCAAAACATTGGTACGAGCTGGTGAGAAAGTGAACCATATTCTTTAATAAATGCAGTTTCCTAATCCCGCCTCTAGAGGCGACTTAAAGGAGAACTATGGGGTTAGGGCTTTTCCCCATAGTTCTCAGGGTAACGGGAGGACACAAACTAGCGTCCTCCCGTCACCTTAAGCTCAGTATAAAGGGAGCTACAGCTCGCAGTATACTGAGACACAACAGCTGAAGCGGATCCCGACAATTATGTCTGGATCCGCCCAGCTGCGTGATTGACAGCTGGCTCTGCCTATCTAGAGGCAGAGCAAGCTGTACCCGCCCCCTCCCCCGTCCAATCCACCAGTCAGCGCTGGCGGATCGGAGCGGGGAGGGGGGAATCCAGCTCACCTCCCGATCTACTGAGCCGACCTGTGACAGTCTCATTGTCACAGGTCGGCTAGAACTATGAGGTGAGGGAAAAGCACTCACCTCATAGTTCTCCTTTAAAGCTGAACTCTGGGATTAGCAAATGTCCGAATACAAGAGGCATGTGTTTACATCTTGGTGTGCTTTGTGTATTTCTTTCACATCTGTGCAGGAGCTTCCTGTAATAAAGACCCGTCACTGCTGCTCTCTCCTTGTGCAGGGTGACTAGTCTTGTAGCCACCCCCTCCTCTAATTTTCTGCAGGCAGCCTGTAGTGGGTGGAGCCTGTTAGGTCCCTCCCACAGCTCTTCACACTGCACACGCAACGTACAGCACAGTGATAATGTCACTGCTATGTGTACAAGGTGATATCTGTATTTGCAAAGGCTTTTATATCCTTTGTGGCTATTGCGTATACTGTATTTATATGGAAATGTTTGTGCCTGGAGTTCAGCTTAAGAAAAACAAACCGATATATAACTGATCTGCTATCTGAGGGCTCATGGACGCAGGCATTTCTTTAGTTCTGAACTGTTGAACGCCAAAGAAACTCTGAAGCAGCTTAAAATTGATGCAACTCATAAGCAAGCCATTTTTCCTGAGAGCATACTGCATTTGACCTGCTTCTGAGTCCAATGTCCATGTTCAGGAGCCCTTACACAATTCAGCAGTAGGGTCAGAGAGGTCGTAGTCACCACGGGGTGACTGCCAACACGGATGCCTATTCGAGAATACCTCTCCCTCTAATTCCAACCAACAGTAATATTATCATGATGGCCTTATTAGATAGAAGCGTTCACGGTTTAGATCCAAATAGTCAAAATGTTGTTGGTTTTTTTCTTATTGATAGAGCGGGGAATGAGTGTGTTTTTAGTGTCAGGTTTTTATTCTGGTCTGTGTGCCTGTTGGGGAGATTTCCCTTCACGTCCTGTCAACAGAAGAGTGAGGAAGGGGTAGAATGTCTAACAGTGTTTTTATTACCATCCAAGCAAAACAAATTGCAAACGCACTCATCAATTTGTAACCAGCTCTAAGCGAGGTGCACATGCAAGGGCTTTATACAGTACAACAGCAAAAAGTTTCCCAGCACACTCACCAGCCAGCATGCAAAAAACCGGGTCTCACCGCTAAGGTTAAAAACGGAGGTTTAGATGCACGTCTTCTGCCGAAAACATGAAAGCCGCACCGCATGGGGGGGGGTGGGGGGGATCAGCTGCCGTTGTGCTGTGCGGGGTCCCTTGTGCGTTCCTGTGCCTTTAAGGAGGTTGGGCTTCCTCCTGACAAGCCTGCACCCAAATTTATCTTTTGCCACTAGGACCGCACTATATGGAGGTGCCTAGGCACGGCTGTGCGGCTTTCACATTTTCTGCAGAAGACGCGTATCTAAACCTCTGTTGCATGCTGGTGAGTGTGCTGGGAAACTTTTTGCTTTATTACCATCCATTCCCACAACAATCAGTTCCCCTATTACATGTACGGGCTTTACTGGGACAAAAATTGAGGGGAAAAAAAACCCCACAATGGGAGGTCACACAGAGAAATAAAAACCCGACAGAACATTTAAAAACCCAAAAAAGAATGATGTAATATATTGCAGCTTACCAGACCTGAGATGTGGTGGCTGTATTTATTTTATTTTCCTTCACCTGGTGATACTACTAATAACACATTTCCTGTCCCTTCATATCGACCTTATTTCTCCAGTCTATCTATGGAGGAGCCATGTTTGTCACATGTCTGCCGCTCTGGCTAGTAGATCACACAAGGTGATCAAATCATGTTTACTGTTATTTCCTACAGCTAAAGATGGGGAGGTGGAATTCTCTACATTTTTGACCATCATGTACCGCCAACAAAAGCAGGAAGACCCAGAGAATGAGATCCTTGTAGCCATGTTGATGACTGACCAGCAAAAGAAAGGCGTAATCCCACTGGCTGAGCTCAAGTCCAAACTTACCCTCATGGGTGAGAAGTTAACGCCGGAGGAAGGTACAGTTTTGTTATAAATGGATATGTATTTTTTGGTAGCCTTCTTTATTTTTGGCAAATAGAATCTTTATGACTGATGGGGTAGAAGTATCAAATCAGCTTTTATTAGTACGACATCACTGATTCTGACTCAGATTGTTGTATTAGTGATTTATCCCTTGCTGAGACCTCTATGCCTTGCCTGTACAAGCAGATATAATCACTGCGGACAATCCTTATCAGATAGCTGAACTCACCAAATACCTTTATTGGATGCAGTAGATAACAGGATACAGCAGATGACAGAACAGATGGTATTTGAAGGTCAAGGATGATAATGTTTCCAAGCAAGCAAACATATACATGTGGCCCTGCTATAGGCAGCCATGACACTAAACAACTACTTGAAGAAGGGCGGTACATTACACACAAGGCGAGGGAACCAAAATGCCCACAAGATGGCAGTATAATACCCAAGTTATACTAATACCAAGATAATGGCTTAAAGGAGAACTATGGGGTTAAGGCTTTTCCCCAGTTCTCCTTAGGGTAACGGGAGGACACAAACTAGCGTCCTCCCATTACCCTATGCTCAGTATACCGCGAGCTGCAGCTCACGGTATACTGAGACGCCACAGTATACAGCGAGCTAGTGCTCGCGGTATACTGAGACACCGCAGCTGAAGTGGATCCCGACAATTATGCCGGGATCCACCCAGCTGCGTGAGTGACAGCTGGCTCTGCCTATCTAGAGGCAGAACCAGCTGTACCCGCCCCCTCCCCTGTCCGAGCCGCCAGTCAGCGCTGGAGGATCGAGGAGGGGGGAATTCAGTCACTCCCCTGTCACGGCAGAGAGCCATGACAGGATCGAGAGGTGAGCGAACGCCGGTATGTGTTCGCTCACCTCCCGATCTACTGAGCCAACCTGTGACAGTTTAATTGTCACAGGTCGGCTAGAACTATGAGGTGAGTGCTTTTCACTCACCTCATAGATCTCCTTCAAGGAGATCAATTGTGATTCTCATTTCACATTAATATGAATATTAACTATGGCTATGCATTGTCATATTTTTACAACTGTGTAACAGCACAGCACTGCTTGAAGCTAACATGGAGTTGATTGGTATGATTTAATCAACATTGCCCTAGCCTATAAATCAGCCCTCTGGAGTTTGCATTTGACCATCACCATTATAAGTCTAATAGGAATTTTGTACTTACTTGAACTTTCTTGAAGTTTATTAACGGGCAGAAGGTTCAGGTTTTTTTCCAGATAGAATTGGGTTATACTGCGTCCTACAGGAGGAACTGGACATTGGCAAAAAAAAAAAGGCTGTTGGCCAGCCGGGTATAATCCCTCCCACACCCAGTATGCTTCAGTTTTAGAAAAGCAGTACTTAGGAACAGATCACAAACATAGTGCGATGGGACGTGTGGACTTGGGTCGCTTCAAGAACTTTATCGTTCACTAAGGAACACAAGATTTAGTTATTCTGGTAGGATTGGGACATCCAAAAGCAGTCCAACTGAGGGGTGGACAACAAAAGTGCTAACAAGCCCACATAAGAAACAGAATACAACTCGGAGAATGAAATTGTCCACATCAGAAGCATGCACAGCAAGCGTCTTTTACATTGCTATTCCGCAGAGCCACAGAGAACTCCTTCTGTACACAGATTGCAGAATAATTTGGGGGAAAAACAATATAATGTAGAGCTGAAGGCAAAAGCTCTAAGCAAGCTACAACTAAAGGGTCAGTAAGGATTGTAGATGGATCATTTGACATCAGATGAGTCCCAAGTTGCACAGCAGGGCCTGCCAGTGAAAACAAGGATTTGGAAAGGATTTCCAAACATTTATCAGTGGCAACCTTAAACACTGGAGTATTAATAATAGGCAGTCAGTATGTTAAGGGGTGATCTCACCAGAGCCACAGCAAGAACAGCCCAATTCATAAGAAAATTCTCATTAAATGGATATTGATCTGAAACGCGATCAGGAGTAAAGAGTTTGTCAGGACTATTCCAGTCTCCGTACAGAACCCGTAGAAGTAGTGAACTGCAAATGTTTTAGGGCCTTTTAGAGATCCCAGACTGGTAATGGCACTAGTAAAAGCCACAGGCTGTTCCATTTTAAATGTGGCCCACGCAAAATCAATAAGGTATTTTTAAGCTCCTTCAGATAATCGAGGCTCCTAAGGAACACACTCATTCAACAAAGACCTGTGAACCCCTTTGTCAGGCAATAAATCCTCAATAGAGGCGACTCCAGCTGCCAGAATGTCAGTTATAGATTCTGGAGGAGAAAATGCAGAACTACCACTTACAGCCTCTGGATTCAGAGTTGGCCCAAAAATCTAGCATAGCTATAGAGAACTCCTCCCTGGATAAAGCAGAGAAGAGGGCCACCACTGATGGAGCTATGGAATACTTAAAGGAGTGAGTTGACTCAAGCAGGGGACAACAACCCCGGCTATTGATGTCAGGCCCCTTAGGGACACTGCAGGTCGCGCCGGGACTGTTAGTGGATCGTGAGCTGAAGCGAGCTGCAGGACTTCCTAACTTGCACTTGGCTTCTGACATGTTGAACTGCTCAACAGTTAATACAGAACACCAGGTAAAGCCTTGGTTTACCCACAACCAACTGTATAAGCAGGAGAGATTATTTGTCAGGAGAGTTGACCAGGTCACTGTAGACTGCAGCAACAACCAATCAAGTGTGAACCACCTGTCTAATACAGATAGCTTCTTCCCGCTATTGATCCTATCTCACGCTTCAGCAAAAAGGGAGGAAGAGAGTGAAGAGTGTGTGCAGGCGTTCTTGACACTCAAGCTAATGACACATTTAATTCCTTAGCGTGTTAACCCTCTCCACAAAAAGTGGTGGGATTTGGGAGTAATAGTGCAGTTCAACACTACTGATTAGTGTGGTAGTCCCCAAGTAGGATACTCATTAAGAGTTTTCAGAGACTGGGCACCACCAGAGGCAGTGCCATGGCTCTGGATCTGGAAAGTGCTCTGCGGCAAACATAGTACCCAAAGGTCTTGGAATGGCAGAGCCCAGTGCCTGTAAGCCCACTTTAGGCAAAACCTTCAATCTTCCATCCAACAGGGTCCAGGTACGGCCTCCAAGGCATAGCCGAGGAAATGTTTAAAGCCGATAACTGCATTGAAAGCTTAGCTCAACAGCATGTAGATGAGGTCTTGATTGGAGAAAAAATATCTTAAGAAAAAGTAAATAAAATAAAATGGAAAGTAAAGGAGTAAACGTTTCTCAATAGAAAAAAGAAGTCCATCCTCATTGGACACTAGTAAAAAAAACTGAAGCATTCTGGAAATGGGAGGAGATTTACTTGTCTGGCCAACGGCTTTTTTTTTCTGCCAGTGTCCAAATCCTTTTGCAGGTTGAAGTATAACCCAATCGTATCAGAATAACTGTATCCCGTCTCCTTAATACAATAAACAATAAAGAAATTGAGAGTAGTTACTCACTTTGGGTCCCAAATAAATATCTCCCTGCTGATTTCAGTGTATGCCCATACTATACATATCATTACCTCCCTAACATCAGATGAAAACCCCGACATTAAACTTTTTATCTGGTCCCTTTAGGTCTGTAACAGAGCGCTTGCAACGGTTTATTTAAATGGGACAGATCGGTATTCCCACTTAATTAGACATGTACTCAAGAATTGGGGACAATGTCCCATATATGGTGGCACTGTCCCCTGTTCCAAGCATATAGGAGACAAAGTATCAAAATGATTAATAAAATCTCATCCATCTCCCCCCCTTTGAGCCCATGGGTGGTATTGTTCCATAAAACTAAAACCTCAATTTCAAAATGTGAACAATCTATGAAGCCTCACCTACTGAACATGGCCTAAAGTCGAATTCCAAAACATTGGAATCCATTACAACTACCCTTAGTGGGCGAATCGCTATTGAGGGTTTTAAAAATGTGTTTAATGGAGGAAATCAGAATTGTTAAACATGATTTTAAGACTTTACTCCATTCGTTCAGGCTGAATAACTTAAAAAAGTTCAGAAATGTATAGTGATCAGGTGGCCACTATCTACTATGATGTTATCGAGAGCAAGATTTTTGATTTACTGAACATTTCTTAATGTATAAGGACACTTAAATGTTTGTTCCCCTCCTATATATTCTAACAGGTTCCCTTTAAATATGAGTCCCAAATGCCCTGCATGTGTGCATGTGTATGAGTCATAAAACTATAGACATCAATAGATGTGCTAGAGGAGATATGAACAATTCTCTCTTTACAGTTGACGATCTTCTCCGAGATGCTGAGGTGGGCCCTGATGGGATGGTAAAATATGAAGCCTTTGTCCGGAAGATCACACTCCCCGTGCCTGACTACTGAACCACAGGCACTCTGATAGGCTACAGGGTCGTTTTTATTATTATATTATTGGGGTTTTTTTTTTTGGTTTTTTTTTTTACACACTAGATGTTCTCAACCACACTGTGTATGGCAGTCATTGATAATCAGCATATCTTTTTAGTATGACTACAATGAGGTGCTAGAAGCCAATACCCGTTTGCTATAAATTACTGAATACAGATGCACTATGGCAAAAATAAAAGACCAAAATATTCCAGCCCTTGTTTTCATTGGAAAGTGTTTCGCACAAGAAGAACTTTATATTTCTCCTCCTCCATTTTTAATTATGTAGAAAGGTTTTAGGCTGGTATTCGTATCATAAAATATAATGTACATTGAAGCTGATTTATTAAAGGAGCTGACAATCTTCACTTCAGTAAATTGAGTGAAGGTTCACTATACTATCCGACCATGTGAAAAGAAAGTTCCTGTTTTCTTTTATCTGCACATGACCGGGGACTGAAAGTGAACAAAGCCACAGTGTAAATAAATGATCTCAACTCCATTAGTAAATTAGCTCATTTGTGTACTACCCTGTAAAGAACAATCTGGTACTATTTGTGTATACATTCATCTAAGAGATGTGTCATATAAGAAAAACAAGCATACATTCCTTATTTCACAAAATAAATATATATATATATATATATACACACACACGTCAAAAATTATCTGCACTCTGGCTGTAGAAATTATTTTAATCACCTTTTAGAAAAGACAAATACATATTTTTTGACAAAATCTCCATGCTTTCCAATACACTTTGTCCATCTGTCAACAAGATTTCGTATTCACTAAGAAGTGTTTTAGGCTGAGCTGCAAGCCACGAAGCCTTCTTCATCAGTGGTGAATCTTCATTCTTGTAGGGCTGCTTTCAGGAGACCAAACTGGTAAAAGTCAGATAGAGCAAGATCAGGACTATAGGTGTACACTCAATGTTGTCATCAGCTGTGGATGGGCATCCAGGCTCCTTCTTGAAGGCTAACACTTGTGCGACCTTCCTTGAGCTTTTCTATCCATTCAAAACGCTTTCCCCATACTGCGTACAAAGTCTTCGATAAATAACGGCACCAGGCACACCCTCAAACCACAAAAAACTAATCACTGCACGCTGCTCTTCTTTCGTGCAAATCACAAGTGGGGCATCTTATTTGTTCTCGCACCGCAGTTACAAATGACGCAACACGTTCACACCTGCACAGCAGTGACTGGGGAGACAGTAGCCTTGACCGTAAAGCACTGATAAGACAGGGCGGCCAACAGAAGTTTTAATATAACTGGAGTGCGGATAATTTTTGACTCATCCTCGTGTATAAATGTAAAAAAAAAACTGAGTGATGCAGTATGCAGTGATACCTTTCTTATTGGACTAACAATATTCAAAAGACAAGCTCTCAAGAGTTAAAAGTAGAATAAACGTCTTATTTTTCCACATATATAGCAAGCAGTAGATATATGCAAAAACATTTTTTTTTTTAAATAGTTACCATATAGGTAAAAACTTACCTCTGTCAGCACCGCTTGCTGCATCATCCAGCTTCCCCAAACTGCTGTGCAGGAAGATCTGGGCGGGCGCATGTGCACTGGAGATCACCAGCGGGGAGGAGAGACTCAATAGCAGTCAGTGCACAGAGCTATCAATGTGCACGTCGGACAGACACTGCGGGATCCAAGGAGTCTGCACTGGATCAGAGACCGGCACCAGCGCTGGAGGGACTGCTGGAAATTACTAGAAGGAAGATGATAAGATCAAGAGGTATCACTTAGGGAAGGTTCACACCATTTTCCAGACCATATCTGGTCTGGAAAATGGTGTGAACCTGCCGCAGTTCCAGTGCATTCCAGACCAGCCAAAATGAGACATGCAGTATTTTTCTTGTCTGGAACTGACTGCGATGGTGTGAACAGAGGCCTAAAATAGCATAGGAATACATTAGGATGCATTTGGGGTCCGGAAACAATCTGGTCAGGTCTGGAGATGATCTGGATGTGGTGTGAATAGGCCCTAAAGGCAAGTCCTTACAGCAGGATTAAGAGTTTAATGTCACTTTAACCTCTCTTCTTCAGGTCTGAAGCAATACTAAATCAACATGACAGAGATTACCACTAAAGCAAGAGATAGTTCTTAGAGAAGGGGGGGGGGGGGTGTATTAAGAGGGGGGGGGGGGGTGTCATAAATGTTGGACCTGGGAGTGAGAAGTGCATCCTAATAACCTTTGTTTTTGTACACAGAAGAAAGGAGTGAGGCATTGGTGACAGTTATGGCACAATCCAAAAAGAACACCGGGGAATTTATCAGAACTGGAGCAGACAAAATCTGGAGCAGCTGGCACGGCAACCAATCACCTTCTCTCTTTTATTTTCAAATCCTAACTTAAAGAGAGAAGCTGATTGGTTGCCATGCACAGCTGCCCCAGCTTTTATCTGCTCCAGTTTTGATAAATTCCCTACCCAGTGTTTTGAGAAATTCATTTTGAGTTTTATCGATAGGTGAAATTAAATTGAATGGTTTATGGACGTTTAACCCCTTCATGACTGAGGCCTTTTTTTCATTTTTTTGTACCCATGTTATATTCCACATTTTAGGCCTGAAAATTACTTAAAACCCCCCAACATTATATATTTTCTGAATGCCAAGACCCTATAGAATAAAATGGTGGTAGTTGCAAATTTTTATGTTGCGCAATATTAGAATATATATATATAATTTTATATACACACACACAATCAGTATATTCAACTTCTAACATAATTTTGTCTTATTAAACGTTACCTGTCCATTTCAGTTTGCAGCCACGTGTTTTTCTTAACTGCCAAATGTCAAGCATCACTTATCTCAAACCCTGTACACAACACTCCCCAACATGGAATTTCTTGGACACGTGATTGCCTTTCCACTTTTGCCATCATTTTCTTACAACCATTGGACTGATCATGTGATTACAGCACTTCAGAAGCTAGAAGTGAGTGGCATCCATGCAGGATAGGATTCTGGAATCAGATCTGGCACAATAATGCACGGTATAATTGTGCCGATTATGATTAACAGATGATTATTTGCCAACATAAGTAACGGTAGGACTTTAAATATACATTTCTTATAATGAGGAACATATTTTCCAACACACTTGGGCTGGGTTGCAGTGCACACCGCTGGCAGTTTAAAGTGACCCATTGCTGGCCTTCTAAAAATGTTTGTTGCCTGACAATACATTTTGAGACAGACGCACACAACGTGTGCGTCTGAGTGTTAGCATTACTTACCGTTATATGTTTTATAAGTCAGTGACTCGGGAAGCGTTGTAGGAAATGCAACAACCTGGCAGCCAGCATTTTCAGAAACATGTTCAGGAAAATACTAGCGTCTGTGATTCTCTCATGGCAGTGTCACATTAGGAAAGGAGTCATGAGATGATGACACCATTTTCAACCTACTAAAAATGTGTTTTATCTGGAGTTATTGACCTGGAACACGTGAGCAACATGTGAATCCATAGCTTATAATAGGGCCCTTCTACTCGCCATAAATTCCTTTTCTTGTAGTTGATTGAGGGACACAGGAAGTCTTTCGCCTTAAGCCAGGAGAATTGGACTGTCAAAAAAAAACAAAAAAAAAACAAAAAAAAAAAAAAACATTAGGAAAGGAGTCATGAGATGATGACACCATTTTCAACCTACTAAAAATGTGTTTTATCTGGAGTTATTGACCTGGAACACGTGAGCAACATGTGAATCCATAGCTTATAATAGGGCCCTTCTACTCGCCATAAATTCCTTTTCTTGTAGTTGATTGAGGGACACAGGAAGTCTTTCGCCTTAAGCCAGGAAAATTGGACTGTCAAAAAAAAAAAAAAAAACCCCCGTTGGTCAGCCCAGGTTAACCCTACTACTACTACTACTACTACCAGCATGCCTCAGTTATAAAATATAGTACAAAGAGCATGAGCACAGACACAGCGGGGTGGGAACTGTGTCCCTCAATGGAAAAAAAGGATTTTACGGAGAGTACAAACTTCCTATTTTTTTTCTCATCCATGGAGACACAGGAATACAATAATTCTCAGACATTTGGGTTATGCTGCCGCTTAGAGGAGGTATGGACACTAGCAAACAAAACAAACATTAAACCAATCCCTGTATAACCCCGCCTCCAATGGTCACCCCTCCGGGTTTTGCTAATGTCCTATTAGGTTGGATGCTTGATCTATATTTTTACTCATCAATACATCAATATACAAAGGTTTTTCCTGGGTGGTTTTTCTCTAAAATCAGGATCTTTTTCATGCTTCGACCTGGTCTCTACAGAGCAGCTATACAGATCAGCCATTCCTAAACCAGTAGCTGGACTCTGCTGGACCAAAGATTATGGGACTAGCCTGCCATGTAACCTTCAGGCACTGGGCTCCGCTTGTGGTGCTTTCCAGACGTTAGTGTTCTGTGTTAGCCAAAGGGTGGTCTTCAGGTCCAGAGTTGTTACACAGCTGCTGGTGTGACCCAGTCTCTGAAGACTCACTGCGAGTAAGCTCATAGATGGGACAAAGAAAGCCTGGACTGTGACCTTCAGGGACTGGGCTCTGCATTCTGGAGCTTTCCAGACCCTTGTGTACTGTAAGCATTAGCCAGAGCACTCTCCATTTCAGAGTGGTACAGCTTCTGGTATACCCAGTGTCTGACGACTTCCTGTCTATGTATGCCTGTGAAAGTGGCAAAGATATCCTGTAAGTGGCATTTGAGCAGCAAACTTATAGGTGTCCTCCGGAAGAGGACACCTATGGCCGAGGCCACTGTCGGCAAGTTGCATTACGGTCCTCAGATATTGAAAAAAAGAGTTCACCCGACAGAGCAAGGGAAGCCGCCACCCCCCTATAATGAAATAGGGCAATTTACCACTCCATAAGAGAAATAAGCATCTATGATAACATTCAAAAAGGTCTCAGAAGCATCTACAGGGAGCTCAAAGGCAGTGGGAATGGCCTGAAAGAGAAGACACAGTAGGACCC